TCAAACAAGCTGGGGGGTGCACACAATGACAAGCTTTCTTCCTCTGCCTGCTGATTTCCATGGAAACCATAAAAAAAAAAAACCAGAAAGATTGAAGCCCCCGAAAAAAAAGGGGTGGAGGAATAAGAAAGCCTCTAAAAAAAACTATTGGGAGTTTCCAAGTTCAAGTCCCGCTGCTTTGCCTTCTGTAGAGGGAGCTTCTGTTAAGATTTTCTTCTTATCCTTTCTTGGTTGACACCTTTTGCAATGTTTGATTTTTGGGGATATTGAACGAATCGCTTTCTCTCCCCACAGCTGAGTCCTTGGAACTGTTGGGCTCTGATGTCTCCATCACGGCCTTTCCCTGTGGAACGGTTAAGAGATATTGGCACCCATCTCCAACCCAGGCATTGAAAACTCCACTTAACGAGGGCAGAAAGAACCTAAAAATTGAGACGCCCTAATCCAAGAACCAGAGATCAAAGGCAATCCGTCTCTCTGCCAAGCAGGAGAAAATAGCTCCAGAAGGTAGCCTGGGTTTACTGTAGTTACTAGAAATAGGATGGAGCATCAGAGAAAGAGGCAAAATGTTGTCATTTTGCCTCCCACAAATTAAAACACTTTTAACGTCAGAATTACAACAAGGTAGAGCCTGAATTGCTACCTCACACTCTCTGCATGCTTGACTTGGTTTCCTAACGTTTGAATGGGATGGGTGCTGTTTGAGAGATGAAGAGGGACAGTTCCCTCAAACTACAAGTCCCAGAATTCTTTGGACGGGCAAGACTAATATCACAATTATCAGGGTTATTGATTGAGCCGGGCAATTTACAATCACAATTGGAACCGGGACATTCGTTGTTAAGTGAATGCAGTCATTAAGTGAGCCGTCTCTGATTTTATCATCTTTTTGCCACTGTTTTTAAGGTCCATGGCAGTGGTGATCATGTGACCTTGGGATGCTGAGCAAGTCATAAATAGGTCCCAGTTGCCCAGTGCCCAAATTTTGAGCATCTGACTGCAGGGATTCTGTGACAGCGGTAAAAGCTGGAAAAGGTGCAAGTCATCTTTTCCAGCAATGTTATAACTTTGAACAGTTATTAAGTGAACAGTCATATCTGGAGGACCACCGAGGGAGGATATCTGTGTCATGACTCTAACATTTCTGACTAGCGGTGCTAAATAATTTAATGCTGTTCCATTAAAAAAAAAATCCTTGCAGTCAGAGATCTAGCTGACAAGGAAAAGAGTGGCCATATAAACTTTTTCCTGATTTGCTAACTTTCTATGAACGTGGGAGTTTTGGTTGAAGAAGTCCCCAACTGCCTGGAGTCACGGGGAGCTGGGTGACATATAAATGTAATAAATATATAAGCATCCCGTTTGCAGATTGCTGACTCTACAGCAATATTTCTCAACTTAAGAAGTTTGGACTTCAGTTCCCAGAATTCCCCAGCCAGCATTATTTATTAATATTATAATTTAAAGGGAAACATCATTCTGAAAAGCTTCAACAAAGCCACTCAGGTTGAATGCCTAATCATTTATACAACCAAATAAATGGGAATGGATTTGCAGATTAGCGCAATGTGTCCAAACTTCCAACTTTAGCTGAAGCACCTAACAGCGTGTCGGGGTAAAGAACCTGAAATGACTCAGCTTCGGAAAGGTGCAATTTCACACCTTCGGCACAGGGATGTTTTGGGTGCGTTCTCTTTAGCACGTCTTCGCGGGAACGATTTGTAAGGATAAACAGATCTTTACATAGACTTGTTTTTGGAAAAACGGATTGAAGGCGAGCTTTTGGTTCCTTCATCGTTTAAGAGGAGGACGGAGGAAAGGATTCTGGAGTCCTGCAAGTGGGGAATACATGGAATCCTGGGGCTGGGAGGGTCCTTTTGAGGTCTTCTAGTCCAACCTCCTGCCCAAGCCAGGAGTCCTTACTCCATCCTGGACAATATACGTTGGATTTAAATTCTGGGAGCTGAAGTCCACACGTTTTAAAATATCTGAGATGTTGAAATATTGTTCTAGACCCGTGATGGTGAACCTATGGCATGCGTGCCAGAGGTGGCACGCAGAGCCCTTTCTGTGGGCACATGCGCCATCACCAGCTGGTCTTTTGGTTTCTGCTGTGTGCATGTGCGCCGGCCAGCTGATCTTTGCATGCGCCTGTTCTGCCCCATCTACGGACCCCAAAGAACGCAGCACACACAAACTCTATACAAAGCTTATTTTACTCAAATAACTCAGTCCTTTTCAACCAAAGGCTGTTAATAAACTTCCTTAACAGCCTACAAGAATTCTAAGATAAGGTAATCACAGTCTTATTAGAGTTGGCAGAAAGCCCAGAAGCAATTTTGCAGAGAATCCAGACGCGAAGGAGAGTGAACTAAAGTTGTTCCCTACAGTTTGCTGCAAGCAGCGTTCCTCCTTAAATAGGCTAAGGGAGTGGCCAATTAGCCCCAAGCCTTACTCTCGAGAAGACCTCCTCCTGAGGAGCCACTCCTGCCTTTTCGCAGCTCTGCACGCTCGTGCATCGAGAAGAGGCTCCTCCTCTTCTCCCTCTTCACTTATGGGAGCTTCTGGGGGTTCTGAAGGCCCTGGCTGAATCCCCGCCTCTGGCACCACATCTTCTCCAGCCTCCTCACTGTCCGACTCGAGCGCCAGCTGCACAGGCTGTTGGCGCAGCACCACACCAGCCTCCTCGTTGTCGGAATCAGCTACAATCTGCACAGGCCGCTGACGGGCCACAACAGCGCCAGAGCACTGGAACCCCGAAGATCAGTTGGCCAGTGCACACATGCCTGGTCTTTGGGTTTTTGGCGCTCCGGCACACATGTGCACATGCACGCGCATTCCAGTTTGGGCACTCTGTGCCAAAAAGGTTCTCCATCACTGTTCTAGATTATCACCTTTGTCTTGTCCTGGTTCCATTTCCATCATTCTTACTAGTGATGGGAGCAGAGTAACCACTTGGATTTCCCACATACGAGCCTGAAAGTTCAGTTCAGACCAGGCATTGAGTTCAACCATCCAACATGCCTTCAATGACATTCCAAATTATTAGACAAATTTCTAACTGGCTGGGGGAAAAAAATATCCATGCGGTTACAGCTATCTGCACCGGTACAACTCTGGGAAAGATGCTGACTTTCTTGAACTGTTTGGCCCATTGCAAGAAGCATCAGCAAAAACTGAAAGGAGGAAAATAAACAAAAATGAAGAAATGAAATAAATCAAAAGATTGGGGCAGCATATTACAGGAAGCTCTCGCCTGCGTTGAGGTTCCTCAAAGCTCATTTGTTTCTCGCTCAACCGCATTCGAAGATTTTCTAAAGTGCAATCAATACTCAGCATTAACCTACTGAAGAGCAGCTGCCAATTCTAAATAGGATCAAAAGCCATCACCTTGCTAGCCTTCCATCAGATTCAACAGATCATATCAGACGAGACTTAAATAAGCAAGGGAAGGTTTAAGAGCCCGGTCCTGTCCATTCCCATTAAGAAAAGAAGTCCTTAATGGGAATGGTAGTGTGTTCCAATACTTGAGGGGCTCCAACAAAGATGAGGGGGTCAAACTATTCTCCAAAGCACCTGAAAGCAGGACAAGAAACAATGGATGGAAACTAACCAAGGAGAGAAGCAACTTAGAAATAATAAGAAATTTCCTAACAATGAGAGCAATCAATCAATGGAACAGAAGTTGCCTTCAGAAGACGTGGGTGCTCCATCACTGGAGGCTTTCAAAAAGAGACTGGACAACCATTTGTCTGAAATGGTATAGGATCTCCTGCTTGAACAGAGGGTTGGACTAGAAGACCTCCAATGTCCCTTCCAACTCTATTATTCTATGTTCTATGTCTAGCAAGAGCCAGGAGATTGTAAGAAGAACCAAGAGAAGGCATCCATCATTTGGGGAAAGGTGGACTTTGCAAGCAAGATCAAGATTGGGAAAGAAAAATCTCCTCTCCTATGTGCAATTTCTCACCAATGCCCTTATGGCCCTTGGCATGGCTAGTTGTGTGCTACGCATTGGTCTCTCAGTCTTGGTATTCCTTATCTGTAAAACAAGAATGCCTATGGACTGGTTTAGATCAGATCTTCAAGATGCTTGGGCAGCTTATTGCTTTTGGGCAAAAGTTATCTGCAGTAAATACATTGTGGGTTTAGATTTGAGAAGGCCCTAAGGCAATATTTCTCAACTTTGGTGCCAGGCACACAAGACCAGGTCCACATGTGAAGGTTCAATTTGACTACTTTATTGCTAAAAGTCTCTGTACAGGAATCTTCTCACCTAATGGTCAGCACCTGGTTAGAGTTAGATAAGGGTCAATGGCAGTCAAGGGAGGTTGGAGTTAGTTCCTTTGTGGCCACATAGGGATTCTAGGCTGATCCCTCTTTTCACCCACTCCCCTGCCTCTGCCAGTGCTTCTCCTTCACTTGGCAACCTTAAGATGTATGGACTTCAACTCCAATACTCTCCAGCCAGAATGCTGGGAGTTGAAGTCTACACATCTTAAAATTGCCAACACGGAGAAACACAGTATTAAAAGATGGGAAAGTGTTAGCTAGTTACTCTAGTTTCCTTGCTGCCAAGAATTCCAGGTGTCAAAATTAAACAGGTTGTAGAATATGCTCATCAGTAAAAGGGCTTGATTTCATGAATCACAATTCTAGGCCTACCTCTAGCTGGTGAAGTTAATCACCAGCCAGATGCCAATCAAATGAAACAAAGACCCTACAGTACTTCACAAGGCATCTCTTTTTCCTTTCCCAGAATTCCCCCCTCCCACAAGGCCTGGCAGAAATCCCTGAAAGGACCCCCCTAAACAAATCTAAGCCTAAATATGGGGGGGGGGAAGGTTCTCCCAGCCACCTATCAACTCTCACTCCCCTGCTGTGTTTAACTCCCTGCAAACATCCCTTCCCTCCCTCCCTCCTCTCATCTTGCAGTATAAGGATCTGCAAATACAGCAGAAGGTCTTTGCTGCCTCCCCCAAAGTGAGGGCGTCACATACCTGGGGTGCCCTCTTTTGAGATGATGGCGTGAAGCAGAGGCTGGTCTCTTTCTGATGCGCTCTAACAGAACCAAAGGGCAAGACTAGTGAAGACCCCAGGCGGAAACCCACTTCCAGCAGAGACGCAGCAAAGGGAGGGTTAAACGTCCATTTCAGCAGCCACCCAGCGTGCTGCCCTGTTGTCTTGCAGAAGTATCTGGAAGCTAAATTCGGAGAGCCGAAGACGCTTTCTGAATGAATAAGTGGCTCTCCGATCTGCCAAGAGGTTGGCCAGCCAACGGTGGAAGGGCTGCCTTGGCAGACGGCAAAGCGTTTTTCAGCAAAGATTGCTTGAGAAGATTGCTGGGAGAAGAAAATTCCAAGCTTCTGCCACGATTAGGGAGAGAAAGAGAGGGGGAAAAAGGGAGCCTGGAGGATTGGGAATCGCACAGCATGACAAGAGTTTCAAGGGGAAAAAAATTGCAAGAAGAAATTGCAAGAAAAATGTTATAAAAATGTTTTTTAAAAAAGTGTTATCTGACCAGAGAGAGAAAGGGAATTAGAGAGCCAGCTTCGGTGGTGGTATTTAGCCAGTTCAGACTGATTCTGGCGAACCGGTAGCAGCCACTGTGGGTGGACCTGCCCACCTGCCCCAGCATAATACCATCCTATTTAGGTTTTTGAGGCCGGGCGCATGCATGGAAGGAGCGCATGTGAGCAAAGTGCACACACAGAAGGCTGGGTGCGTGCATGGAGGGTGCATGTGTGCGCACGGCGAACCGGTGGTAAAAATATGTGAAACCCACCTCTGGCCAGCTTGCAAACCACAGCTGTCCTTGCAGCAATGCCCTGTAGCTTGTCAACGACTGGCCATCAGCTTGGAGAAGCTTCAACTGTTTGATGGACCACCATCTTAAAAGTTCTGCTCTCCAACACCTCCCCGATTCGCACTAAAGCTTCATCAACCCACACCCTGTGACTGCTTCCCCCATCTGTCCCTCTTCCTTCTCCCAACTTCACAATGCAACACACCAACACTTCACACAACACACCCTTTCCCCAGGTCAACCAGAAGGAGCTGGGCCACACGTCTCGGCTCAGCCAATGTTGTAGCCTTTTTGCCCCCTGTAAGGAAGCTAATCTAGACAGGTGTTCTTTCTCTTGGTTTTTCTTCCTCTTCTTCTTCTTCTTCTTATCTCTGCTTTCTTCTACTGTTTTTTTTTTAATCTGATATTTTGAAGGGGCAGAAGATGCCAAAAAGACTTCAAGACCAGCTTTAAAAAAAATTAGAATATGCATCTCAGTGCTGCAGAGTTACTCAGACGCTTCCCCTGGCTTTGGAGAAGCAGAATGAGAAGGTCTTCCTGAATCTAATTTGGAATACGGTGATCGATAAGCATAATGAAGCAAAGAAATAGCTTAATGCATCACTAAACACTCTGCATGCTGATAAAACTAATACATATTCATTTGTTATGATTTTTGGGCCTGTTACTTGTTTCACACGGATAGGAATTCCCAAATTCTATGAAGATCTCCCCAAAATCTCTAATTATGAAGCAGAGGAGCCAGGAACCCTGATTTCAGAAACTCAGATCCAAAAGAGATGAATGACCATCTCTCCACCAGACCAGTTAAGCAGTGGTGAGCTTTTTATCCAAAGCCAGCAAATAGCATTGCATGGAAGCAGATGAGTGCAAAAACCCACCCTCCATATGGCCCCTGGTGACCCAGGTTGTCACTTCAGTGTAAACTCCAGAAGTTTCAACCGTGAGTGAGCCAAACAACCTGAAATTCACTCCTCCCTCAAACTAGTTTGCCATCTACAACTGTGTAAGTACTGATCTGCAGAATTTAATCTTTATTAGTCGCAGGGCTGGTTCCTGTAAGGAGAATAGAGCCGGTGCTGTTGTCTCCTTTGTAGACCAGTGTTTCCCAACTTCATCAACTTGAAGATGTGTGGACTTCCCCTCCCAGAATTCTCAAGGCAGCATTGCTCCTTCCCTATCTGCCCATCTCCAAATATTCCGCAGGTAGTCCTTGATTTATGACCAATTTGTTGAATGACAGTGGAAAGTTACAACGGACTTGGAAAAAATGACTTACGACCTGAATTCACATGTACAACCGTTGCAACACCCTTGTGGTTACGTGCTCACAATTCGGCAACTTGGCAACCAGCTCTCATGTACAACTGGTTGTAGCATCTTGCAGTCACACAATTGCAAGCTGGCTCCCTGATTTGCAACCTTTTCTGCCAATTCTGGCAAAAAACGCCCATTGGGGATGCTGGATTTGGTTAATGATCACCGCTATAAAAATGGTTGTAAAATTGACTTATGATGGAAATTAGGTTGACGGAAATGTTGTCGTTAAGTCGAGGACTACTTATATAGAACGAGAGCTGCACACAGTCACAAACACACAGAGATACATTCACATCACCCCTTCTGTAGCTCTCTTCCACCAGAGCCCTAAATGCATCATCTGTTATATTATTAGAGTCTGTTAAGATTTACAGGGAGCTGTTGCTCCAGAGCCCTTTGGGGGGGAACGGAGGGGGGGGTGGGCTGAGAAGGCGCTCCAATTTCTCATGCAAACGAGACTCCCTTGCCTGCAGATTGAAGCTCTTCATCATTTATTTTGGAAGGGGAGGTGTCAAGTCACCGCGACAAGGGAGATTTATCCCCCGCTGCTCTTGGGCAGAGCTTTCCCTTACCCTCAGATATATAACACCTCGGGGTCAAGAAATATCACACACAGACACACATCCCAGCTGACCCCAAAGGGCACGAAAATGACAGAGACTGTATATCTGCCATGGAGCAAGTCGGCTACTTAACGGGCGGAGGAAAATCATGGATCTGCTGGTAGATCTAGGCCCCTGTTGGCCTGACAAAGGGGGTCCTTGTGGTGGAATGTAGTCTGGATTCCCAGAAGGGAGGGAGGGGCTGCATTCCAGAGGGTCAAGAGACAGCAAAGTCAAAGTTGGGCAACAGAGAGCTAAGATAGCTCTTAGTGTGGGGTCCTTGGGTGGATTTCTGGCAGATGTTTCATGACCCAGCTAGGTCACCTCATCAGTACTAGAAGGGTGTGGGGATTGCAGAGTGGAGAAGGAGATGAGGAGGAGGAGGAGGAGGAGGAGGAGGTGGAGATGACAGCAGGCTCCTTGGTGCTCTCTGAGCTTGATGGTTTTCTTGCAAAATGTTTCATGACCAAACTAGGTAACATCATCACTGATGATGCACTGATGATGTTACCTAGTTTGGTCATGAAACGTCTGCAAGAAAACCACCAAGCTCAGAGAGCACCAAGGACTCCACAGTTCAACCCTGAGCATCCAATGACGTTGCTTTAATTTGGCAAGATTTCTGCCTAGAGATGAGGAACAATAAAGGAAACTGGGTAGAAGAAACTCGGCATGCTTTTCTTAGTTTTGGGGGGGCTTGCACCCTTAAGTCATGCTGAACCCCTAGGGGTGTTTCCTTTCGAAATAAGACAGACTTGCTTTGCCCTGTCTTCTAACATGGTTTTCTTGGAAGACTAGCCTAAACCCCTGGCAGTTGCATGGCAAGACAGTTGGTTAAAACTTTAACTGCTACACCCCACTGCCTTTAGACTCAACTAAAGATAGACAAATTAAGAGGGAAACATGTCTCCATCTGGAAACGTAGTCCTTCTCCTTTGTGTATCTCAGTGTCGGGAGTACCTACAGGTTTTGCTGTCATCCAGGCCTTTTTTACAAGTCCCCACTTTGCTGGCGTTTCAAGGTTGAAATGACCTTGAACGTGCAAGAACAATTTCTGTCAAGTATTTGCAAGCCATTGTCACATGTGTCATATAGACACCAGTGGAGGCAGAGAGTGTCTCCACCCCTATGTGGAAAGGAGGGGCTTACCCTGAGTATAAAATCCTCTCCAACCTTTTCCACCTTGCTCTCTCCATCTCTCTCACTTTTTGGGTTTGTTCCTCATGAGACTTGATCTCTGTTGTACATAGTTAATATGACTGATCATATTAATAAATACGTTTAAGACATTTATTTATGCATCTGCCCCTGAACTCTTCTATGCTCCTGGGTGTTTCTACGACCCCAATTCCACAATTTCTCTATTTTAAGATATTATAGCAGGAACCTATTCCTGAGAACATATACTTCTGCTGAGATGAAGTGGGGAACAGCTGAGTCTGGACCACAGAGCCTCTTGACCTTCAAGCATGGTGGATGATGGAGAAACTGGCCACCGCAGTTCATCCACAGGTTGCTCTTCCAGTGAGTAAGTGGAATCAAATCAGCTACTCCAATTAACTCTTTCTGGACAAGCTGCTTGCTCTGTCCTTCAAAGAGGAAGCAGGGATCCCACCCAGAGATGGACCACAATGATCCAGAGGGACCTCTTCTTCATCTCTCTTCTGGAGAAGTGAGGAGAAGAGACTGGACAGTCGCTTGTCTGAAATGGTACAAGGTCTCCTGCTTGAGCAGGAGGTTGGATTAGAAGACCTGCAGTGTCCCTTCCAGCTCTATTCTGATTGCTTGCTTGGAGTCCTTTCAGAAGAGGAAGTGGACATTTAGCACCGCCTGATACTGATGATTCTCCCTCCCTTCTCCTGGCCAGTTGAGATTAAAAATCCACACTGTTAAGAATTTGAATTGCCAGAGATGGTAGGAGAGAATTACTATTCAGCTCCGCAAGGGGGGAAAAAATAATAAAAGCTTAACGTTGGAAAGATGAGGATTTATAAAGAACTGTTCCCCAGCGATATCGCGCAAACGTTGCCTTGGCAGATTCTAAATCCTGCTGTCTAAGTAATCTCTCTAAACCTCCGAACCCAGCAGTGAAGGCACAGGCGATATATCTCGCCCCAACTTTTTCTCTGAAACGATTCGATAAAGCCCGAAATCAGAGCGTGCACACAAACACACACAAACACAAACACAAAGACACACACACACAGAGACACTCCCTAAAAGAAGACTGTTGCTGGGGAAAGACAGGGAAGTGGCAGAGCAGAGTGAGATCCAGACTGGAGACACTTCTGAGTGGCTCTTACAGGCAGAGGTCCACCATGGATTGGCTCCAGGAGGAGGCTACAACTCAACGTACATGGTCTTCATGCCCCAGCTTCTAGGACATGCACAAAGGGGCCCTGAGAAGAGACAGAAGGTAAAAGCTGCCATGCACCATTGGAAATGATGCTTGTTGTGGTGGCCTCTGATCTTGCAA